CGATATAGATTTCGATTGCTCGTACAAAGTATAACAAGCAAGAAGGCGGGAGAACTCGTACTTATAATTACGCGGATGGTCATCTATTATTTGAAATGTTCATTAGTACTTTTTACCGCACTGCTTCAAAATCAATACCAAACATAAAGTGATTAAATAGTATTGAGGGCAGAAAAAGGTGAATTATTTGAGAGGTAAGTAAGTAAGTGAGTTAAGGAAGTATCTGGTCTGCTTGATCTCATCTTTAATACATACATACAATTTAACGATTATATAAAAAGGTGGGGACAATTTTATGAAAATAGTAAATAAAATAGTTGTAACTAAATTGAAAGATATTTTATTTCGTTTATAATATTGTTTTTCAATAATAAATCGCCGTTTTCAAATAAAATTAGACATTTTGCCTTTCCAATTGATAGTATATCAAGGCCATATCAAGGTAAATTATAAAAACATATATACATATTTATGTATGTGTGTCTTTGTCTCTGATACTTGCCTTACAGTTTAAGTATTTGTTTTAAGTCAATCGTATTGTTCCCATCCAGTTTGATGGCTTTATCTGGGAGCGATATTTCCAATTCAACATGACAATTATTGCTCGAATTCATTAACATCATAAATTTTGGCATTTCCATAGGTCCCATAATTTGAATACGACACTCTATTTGTTTCTGTACATTTCTGTTGTTGTGGCATGCCAACATTGCGATGAACTTGAGACCAAATTGATTTAAACGATCACTAAAGTTAATTAAGTAGCACAATCAAATTTGCCCGTTCACGCGATTGGAGACAAACCACAACTTGAGCAAAACAAACTAGTTTGGGGGCAGAGCCAGAAATCCACACAGTCTACGAATTCATAGAAATAACTACGAGGCAATATCATTTTGAAACCATAGTATACAAGCGACTCTGGCCATTAGTGTCGTGCCTTTGTCATTTGTTTTCTGCTCCAGCCCAATAATACCAACGTAAATTGTTATAAATTATTTATGACAGTTTAAAAATGTCAAGAGCTACAAAATCCGACAACGACAAAAACACCCACAAAAGTGACATTTTGCCAAAATATTGGAACTACTTATATACATGCACGTACATGGTATATATGTACGATTTGATAAATGTTTTAATTAAGTTTGGCTTGTTTGGCAGCACATTTTTGAATTGTATTTTTGCAAGTTGTTTTATTTCTGAGCCCCGTCTGGCATTCGTCTTGCTTAGTTACGGCTCGCAGATCGGGGACTTAAATGGGCTTTGCAGGAAGCCTTTGCTGGAATACTACGTTGGAATTTTGCTGGCCATTGCATGAGTTTTCAATTTGATCATTAATAGCTCTCTGAATGTTTTGGGCCTTGTGGATCGTCGGAATGAAAAGTGCACTTCAGGTTGACATGAATGCTCAGAGCAGACAACAATGGCTTGCAGCTTAGCTTGATGGCAACACGCCGGAAGTGGATTGCGCAACGGACAATGCACATACCTATACTCTTACATGTACACGTACATGTACATGTACATGTGTGTGTTTTTGTGTTTGTAGGCAGCAACAACAAAATGCCTCGTAATTGCTCCGGAAGTTAAATGGAATTTAGCGAAATCGAGAATCGCTGGCAAAATCTAAAATAAACTGCAATTAAGTGGCTCTTGAAGCGCACAATGTGTGGCTATGGCTCTGGCTATGGCTCTGGCTCTGGCTACGGGTGGTTAGGCAGGCAGCCATCTACTATATTTATTCCACACGAATTTGCATATCAGGGGATCGGCCCACCATTATGCAGGGTCAGTGCCAGGCAAGCAGCGAGCCTGATTTGAAATGCATTTGCACAATGCGGTGCAGTCGCAATCTGCAATTAGGGGTGTCCTTGCCACATGTCCTGGCTGCGTTGAATAGGCCTCGGACTGGCAGTGGGACTGCATGTTGCCACCACTGAGAGTGATAAATATTTTGTGCTTGAATGACACGATGGCACGGCTCATTGACAGCGCGACAGGAGAGTGTCTGTCCGTCCGATCATTTTATTGACAATTCTCAATCAAGTCGGGCATATCCTTTGAGAGTCGTTCGGTACAGTAAGCGGTGACGAGGATGCTGATGGTGGTGGAAGTGTTGCTGCTACAAGTGACTAGAGGGGCAGCTGTCGGCTTTGTCATGGATTTGTTGTAAGCGCTGATGATTACATTGTTGCTTCGGCGCATGTTGTCAAACCCTTTTTGATTGATGATGGCTAATTCTAACTTCTGACATGTGTCCAGTTGTCAAATAGACACCAACTTCAGGTCTAGGAGCTGCGGCCGAATTCAGCAACCCTGCGAATTCAAGGACCTGAAGTATAAGCTGTCTCTTAAATGTGCGCTTTTTTAAAACCCAGGTAACTGCACCGCCGAGTCAACAACGTGTCTGGCGAGGCAATCCTAAGACTCAACAACTTTCCAAATTACCATAAAGGTGCACCCTTGTGTTGGCCCGCTTTGATCTCGCATTGAGGCTTTACGCTGTTCTGCATAATGCATTTTCACAGTGGGACACCACCACCCCAAAACCAGAGGAAATGCAAAAGTGGGCGTTGTAATGTTGACACTGTAATTTACGCGTTTATCCTTTTACAGGCAGGCAGGCCAGCAGGCAGGCACAAAAGCCAACCAATCGCGCATTTGCATACCGCTCGTCTTTCGAAAGGGCTGTCGCTGGTAACACGATATGCCCATCTAGACATGTAATCACCTATAGACCGGGGGTATGTAAAAGCATCGGTAACTGTACCTTCAAGGACAACGGTTTAATATGGTAGCATGTAAAACAAATCCTTATCCATCTATGCATGAAAACGTGGATTTTTAATAAAATATTTTTAGTTAGTTAGTTCTTAAATATTTTGAATATTCAACATTAATAACATTGTAAAGGATTTTTTAAATGTATATAGCAGTGTTAAACAAGAACATTGTACGCTGATAAACATAAAATAATTACATTACAAAATTAAGTTGTGCTTCTATATTTAAAATGTACAGACGGAACATTGTATTGCAGGCTCGATTTTTTTAAAATTAGTACTAGATGGTCGGAATTTTGAATTTAAGCTACAACAGAGCTTAACATTTTGAAAAAGATATTAAATATATATAATATTATTCAGACAAGGACATCTATACCTACATACTACATTTGAATTCACATTGGCGATGGGAGCTTTGATTAAAACAATGCGAATTTTGATCTCTTTTCTTCTATTTTTAAATACCAATTTCTGTATAAAATATCTGATTTCCAAAAAGGTTAGAGTCGAGTGTTTTAAACACCTTTTACCCAAAAGAACAATAAAATGTGTCTTAATAAATAAATACATACATACTACAATATATATGTTAAAAAATATCTTTTAAAATTGCATTTATTAAATGAAAATAATTCAATTACAATTACAAAAAGCGTATCAGAAAAAAAAAAAACAGGAACACAAGCTTAGGCTGCTTTCGCTTCCTAGATTCTTCCTATCATACAGACGGACGGACATGGTTATATCGACTCGTCATGTCATACTGATCAAGATTATATGTATATATACAAATATATATACTTTGTGTGTTATACACACTCGCACCTTTTAAACTTTGAGAACAGTGTATAATAGTAAAATTAACAGAAATTTGTTTGTGCTGAAAGTTCGTTTCATAAAAAATTGTTATCGTTTTTTTTTCTTTTTTACTCCAAATAAAAAACTGCGGATCCAAAGATAACATTATACGTATACTTGTACATATGTTAACAGTATACATACATACATATGTATTAGACTATACGTATCTTGCAACGAACACAATTACCCACACACCTATACATACATAGTATGTATGTACATACGAGTTCTTGTACAACAACAATTTCCCTTCCCACGTCACAAATTGAGACGCGTCTGACATTTGTTAACAGTTCGCCAGAACAAATTGCTTTCTGCAATTAAGAACACACACACTCTCCCAGAACGTACTTGTCTCAAGACACGTCTTCATTAGTCATATTAAACAAATGAGCACAGCCAGCAACGATATAGGCAGCTGCAAATTCTAGATTGAAGATAACTTGGAGCTGCTAATAGACATTAATAATATTTCATTTGTTTTTAACGATAAACTGGTGCTCTCACTTCTCACACATTTAGGGGGTTATTAACAACAACAATAACGACGAGAACACAAAGCGCGACATGTTTTTTCTGGCGATGACGAGTGCGCGTCGTGCTTTCAAATAAGGCATTAGGTAAGCGCGTAGCTCAGGCCTCTTTAGCTCAGTGGCAGAGCACTGGTCTTGTAAACCAGGGGTCGTGAGTTCAATCCTCACAGGAGGCATAAAATAAATCCGACTACTCTTTTTTTTTCTAATTTAAATCAATAAAAAACGATATGAAGTTTAGTATATTATTTAAAATTTTTTTGGTTCTGTGTGTTTTGTGTAATGACACATATTATTATTTTTTGAGCGTAAAATATTTTAAAATATTCGAGTTGTCTTCTTTAAGACATTCTTCATTAATTAAATAAAATAAGCTTTTCTTTAATAAACGAGTATTTGACAAATAATCGAAAAATTATCTTTAAATTTTTAATGTTCACATTCTTGGCAAGAGGAACAATGGGAAGAGTATATATTGTTGTTTTCCTGTTTCAATTATGTTTTTAAATTGTTTAAATATTAGAAACTTGGTCGCCCAAAGAAAAAAGTCTCTGAGAACAATTAAAAGAATTGCCGGCCGGCTGGAAAACAATCCAACGTTTGTTTGTAAACAAACGCGATTCTCTGACGTCGCTCTCTCTATCTCTGAGCAGCTCTCGCTCTCCCGCTCGCTCTCCGCCTCTCTTGCTTAGCTGTGTATAGCACAGTTTTTATTCTAAAAATAAACAACTTTTCGTTTTTAGATACCACACCATGTGCCGATATTTTCACAGTTTTCACATTTAGTGCGCCTGTTGCAATCGGAAAAACAAATCAGAATTCCGTCGAGAACATTTAACTTGCATAATTGTCCAAGTTCTAGATCAGAAGGCTCCCCAAAAGTATATCTGCAATGAAAATGCCAACCGGTCAGCAGTCGGCCTTCTTCACCGAGTATTATCTGAAGCTGAAGCAGGCGGGAGGCTCTACCAGCGATGTCGATATAGCCAAGCTAGCTGCCTGTCGTAATGATGACGAGCGCGTGGCTTTCGTGGATCAGCTGGAGTGGGTGCGGGCGTGCGACTCGGAGCTGCTGGTCAAGCGCGAATTCACGGGAAAGAATGCGAATGTGGCTGCAGGGCTCAAGGAGCGCGCCACACAGGCTTTTAAGGCCAAGAAATGGCTTGAGGCCATGATGCTGTATAGCAGGAGCTATGTGGCACTGCCCTCTGAGAACGGTGAGTGATCAGTTTTTGCCCTCCAGATTCCATATGGTCAAGTGTCTTACTCTGTTTCGACATAGTGGCTGAACGGGCCATCGTCTTGGCCAATCGGTCGGCCACTTTGTACCATATGGACAAGCACAAGGAGTGCCTAATCGATGTGAGACGCGCCATAGATCTTGGATATCCCAAGGACCTAATCTATAAATTATATGAGCGACAGGCGCGATGTTATATGGCACTCAAGGACTACCCGCACAGCGTCAGTAGCTTCAAGTAAGTTCATCAGATCTTTGATCTGTTCGATCAGCCTTCCATTAAAATGTTCCCAGGAAATGTATTACAGCTATGGATGACTGTGCCCTGCCGGCCGACAGGCGTTCCAAGCTCAGCCTAGATGCCATGACTATGATTAAGATGCTGGAGGCCGATCCGCGAACCACCAAGCAGGCGGCTCTGCAGATGAAGAAGAAGAATTTGTTTGACGAGCAGGCGCACGCCTTACCCGAGGAGAAGGAGTTCGTCAGTCCACTAATACGCATCGACCACAACGCACAGGAGGGTCGCTTCGCCCGTGCCGCTTCCGACGTCAAGGTGGGTCAGGAGCTGCTCATCGAAAAGCCATACGTGGCCGCTCTTCTAGAGAAATACAGCAAGACTCACTGCGAGTATTGCTTTGTGCGGTGAGTAGAGCCGATTGCTTGCCTCCCTTTCATGTCCTTTACCAGGAATCTCATATCTTTGGCAGTACCGTCATACCGGTCGCTTGTCCTAGTTGCGCCGATGTCATATACTGCTCGGAGGAGTGTCAGCAACGTGCTGCTGCCAACTATCACAGATACGAGTGTGGCATAGTGCCTGTGATTTGGCGATCTGGAGCTTCGATCAACACCCACTTGGCGCTGCGCATCTTTGCCAGCAAACCGTTGGAGTACTTCCTGCAGCTGAAGCCCAGCATCGATGAGAACTTGCCGCTGGAGCAGATGCTAAGGTGGGTCTTACATCCCAAAGATAGGGGAATATAGGGAAACTTATAGGGAAACTTATATATATCTCTTTTGGTGACTACAACCACACCTTTCCTTTCATCTGAACAATTTATACAAGGCATACACGAGTTCTTTTAGTACGAACTCGGTCTAACACGGATGAGAATTTCCTACCTTTTGTCTTTCAATACGCCGAAACCCTCGTTCTTACAAGACAGTTAAGTTAAAAATATTTAAAAAAGAAGCGTATTACTTGAACTCACTTTCGAATACGCTGGAAAAGGTCGCACTTTCAAACTATACTCAGAATTTCGGGTAAAACTGAAGCTGATTCTATCGATGTATTCCTACCTGGGAAGAAATTTGCCTTTGATTAGAAGAGCTTAAGGAGAAAACAATGAATAGATATTGGAAGAAATTATCACTAGCGGTCACCACAAAGAAAAAAATGTTTAGCACGCAAATGGAAAATTAAATGGTTCTTAAATTTTAAATGAAGTAGCTTATGCTTCAACATTTTATACGCTTTAAAATATTTCCCTTCCTAATAGGATTAATCTGTTTATGATACATTTTCAAACTTTGAGTAACTGTTGTTCAATTTTGAAAATATTTGGACCTTAAAAACAGTGGAAATTTAAACAGCAAAACTTTTTTGGTGCATATGTCGAAATCTAGGAACGTAACCCCATGTTTTGTATAGAGTCCATATCGTTGAGTTCAGCTTGAGGTAAGGTTTTTCATTTTCATAAAATATTAAAAGTAAGTGATAAAGATATGCATAGTCACAGAAATCGGAGTCTTTTCTAGATCTGAGACATACTATTTAGTTCCTTCTCCTCATAAAGATTGTTCTTGCTTCAGTAGGAATAACAAATGGAAATACATCGAATACATGTAGTTCCTAGTTCAAAATGGAATGCTTTCTCTTACAGCTTGCCAAAGGAGGACTTCAGGCGCGTGGCGCACTTAGAGCGACACCAGGATAAGCGATCCCCATCGAACTTCTTTCAGCATGTGCTGATGGCACGTTTCCTGAGCCGCTGTCTGCAGGAGGCGGGCTACTTTGGAAGCGAGCCCCAGCACGATCAGGTGCTGTCCATAACTGCATTGCTTCTGCGCTGCTCGCAGTTCATACAATTCAACACCCACGAGGTGGCCGAGCTCCACAAATATAATGGAGGGGCCAATGAGAGGTCTGTTTTCATTGGTGGCGCGATTTACCCGACCCTGGCGCTCTTCAATCATTCCTGCGACCCAGGAGTTGTGAGGTAGGCACGTTTCCTCCCCGCTGGACTCCATTTCATATGCCTTCTTTTTAGATACTTCCGCGGGAACACCATTCACATTAATACTGTGCGACCCATCGAGGCGGGTCTGCCCATAAACGAGAACTACGGGCCCATTTACACGCAGAATGCACGCGACGAGCGACAGTCGAGACTGAAGGAGCTCTACTGGTTCGACTGTTGTTGCGACGCGTGTCTGGAAAACTGGCCCCTCTTCGACGACTTGCCCCGGGATATTATTCGTTTCCGCTGCGATGCCCCCAACAACTGCACGGCAGTCATCGAGGTGCCCCCCACGTGCAACGACTTCATGGTCAAGTGCGTGACCTGCGGGGAAATCACGAACATACTCAAGGGTCTCAAGGTCATGCAGGACACGGAAATCATGACGCGTACAGCGAAGCGCTTGTACGATCTGGAGAAGGACTATCCCAAGGCATTGAACAAGTTCGTGGACCTGGTTAGAATTATGTATGAGGTGCTGGCACCGCCCTTCCCCGACTTCTGTGAGTGCCAGCAGCACTTGAAGGACTGCTTCTTGAACTTGGGCAACGTCTACAATTTGGACTGATGGAGGATGTCTTTACTACATGGCCCAAGAACTCAAACATTTATACAAGCTTACATATAATCTTACTCTACTTGATTGACATAAATATTTAAAACCCGCAATGCGCAAGCGCTCTGCAGTTGGGGATTGGGAATTACGGCTGCCCCCTCTCAGTAGTAGTAGCCACAATGTCCATTATGAAGTTTTTGACAGCCGGCAAAGCTGCTGGAGCTGTAATAGCAACAGCGATAACAGCTTATCGCTGGGTGCCAGCCGGCCACTGAAAATTGAAAAACAAAAAACATGTAGCGTATTAATGAGGTCGCCTTTCTCTGCACCCGCTGCAATGGAGGCACTCACCGCCACAGCTGAATCTCCAGTAACGCCGTTCGTAATGCTCCTTTAGATAGCAGTGCTCCTGCGTCTGTCCATCCCAGAGCCCTGGCTCCGTGCTGCCATAGTCGGGTGGCGACGGGGTTGTCAGGGGGGGCAGATATTGGGGAGGCGTGTCTGTTGTGTTCGGCAGGGGCGTAGTCGGTTTCGAACTATTCTCAGGCGTTGAAGTCTCTACTTGTGTTGTTGTTGTTGTTGTTGTTGTGGTACTTCCAATGGTTGTTGGCTCAGTGGCAATCGGTTCCAATGTAGTTACTTCTGCACCCTCTGCGAGTGTTGTGGTTCTCATTGTTGTGGTAGTCGTAAAGTCCTCGGGAAACTCGGGCTCCACGTCTTGCGCCTGCATTTGACTCAGCAGCAGACAAAGGGAAAACAGTGACCAGCCCACTGAACGTTTCATTTTCCTTCCACTTGGTACACGCACAGTTGTGTTGTCGTGATCGGCTTACATTAAACACTGAACGTCTGTCACTCAACCATTCGATCAGCAAGCGTCGCCGTCGTCGTTGCTCGACATCGCCTCCACTCAAGCAGGGGGTTTTGGTTCGGCGGGGGCAATGGCTACGGCGTCGACAGGTGCTGTGGGCTGCTGATAAGAATGTCAAGCTATTAGAGCAAATATTTAAGCTGCTAGTCTGTTTTCCAAGATGCTGGTGACGCTTTTGTTTTTCATTCATTCAGTTCGCAGAAGCCGCATTAGTAATGTTATTAAAGGCATCCAATTAGAGCAAACGAAAAGAAAATTAGAGTCTATTTAGACAGACTTAGATGTTCATTCAGTTTCTGCGAATTTCATGAGTAAGCTTGTTATTCAAAAATGCTCTGTTTTTCAAAGCGCTCATTGATAAAGCGGGTATTTCCCAGACCCGAGCAAAAAATAAGGTGCTTTTCTCGCTGTGTACGCGTGCACCCATCAATGGCTTATCAAAAAGAAACCGACAATTTTTATTTTGAATCGCTTGCGGGTGGATGAGCACGCGTGCGCGCCGCGGCTTACCTTGTAACATTTAAGCTGTAACCAGCATGAATTACGTTCGGTGCGATGACGCAGAGAACTTTTGCTTTTCATTCGCCACTTAAAGCCGCACACATCTTCACGTATCACATACATACATATATATATATATATATATATATATGTATGTATTTGCATGCCTTTTTATTTGTGGACGATTTAAAAAGGATTGACAAGTGCATATCAATATTGTCAGTGTGCATTCCAATTATATTTCATTATTTGACATCAATAAGCAGGTAGCCGAGCAATGAGTAAGACGCGAATACAAATATTATATACCATACACGTATATACTTATTAATGTATATACTTATTAATGATAATTTAAGGCAGTTAATTACATTTTACAGAATTTACTGCACATATGTACTTGTTTGCAAGATATGTAGCATACTTTTCGGCGGCACTATTATTCATTTATTTTGATGCACAGGTAGAAAGTTACCATATGGTGGCAGAAACTTACCATTAGAGGGGAGTAACTTACCACATCTAATTCTGCCACCTCATGGTAAATTTCTGCAGTACAAAAGCATTGATGCCCAAAAGTATGTTATATAATTCAAGCATGTCTGCAGATAAAGGCGTTTGGGGACATTTCCCAATACGCTGTAAAATCAAAATTCGTTTTATTGGATGTATGGCAGACCCCATGTTTATTTAATTTCATATCAATAGCATTACGTGATGCTTCCATTTAGTCATACGCCTCTATTCATGTATGTACTCGTAAATATTTTTTATGCAAACTAGTATATAAGTTCTAAGCCCATAAGTTGCTTTGAAACTCTATAAATTACTTCAGCAGCTGCTATACTTGTAGGAACTTTTTCAAATTGGCTGGATATTATTATATAATGATATAATGCTAGACATGAATAATGAATAACAACCATTAAATAGTGGATAGAGCAAGAAAGCAGTTCCTCCTTCTTCCTAGCTCATCAACTTTGTGATTGAAATACAAAAGTTGGATGTGATTGAGAATTGCTGAAACAAAGAATTTAAGATCACTTTACCTGCCAGTAGAATGTATACGCCAGTTAGATAGATATTACTCAAGTAGAGGTGACTCCATCTATTTATCCTGATCTTGGTTATCTGCAGGCACTTGTAAGAGTGTTTTATTTGATATGGCTGCCAATAAGGCAGTCCCTGCTAATGGTGCGATTATCTGGCAGTTTCGAATTTGGCTTGCTACGTATTACAAAGTATAAGTTGGTTTGTTTTTTTTGAGTCTCGTTTTCAGATTCTGTCTGCTCTCAGCTGCTATTTGGAAATGTATGTAGAAAATTGGATAATTTTTGAATTTAGTCTTTTAACAGACTGAGCGATATTTTTGTACAATTTGTACATGGTGGGGACTATTTTAAAGTATTAATATGTCGAATACTTGTGGCATTTGGAATGCAATTGGCTTGTTCCATAAATAAAAACTTCATTTGGATTTATTTCGTTTTCTTATGCTTTATTACACATACATACATATATTTGTGCTGTTACTAAAAATCATTAACAATTCCAACAAATACGAGTACATATTCTGTTTCGAGATACAATATTTATTTAAATACCTTCGTTTAAGTTATCTTAGGCTTATAAACATACATACAAGTATGTACGTATTTTTGTGTACACACATATGTATTTTAGGTGTTAGTAGAACTAAAAATAACGATTTTTATTCTTCAACAAATAAAAATTGTACAAAGTGGAGTGAAAGTGGGGTGGAAAGTGAAAAGTTGATGTGAAGATTTCCGTGCATTTGTGCGCCTGATGGGATTCTCCGTTCGATGGGCGGCAAACATACTTATTCGTTAAAAAGCACGTGTGTGGAAATCGAAGCGTGTGCATAAATATATATATAACAAAATTCTTTGTAGCAGGTCCTTGCAGGACATGCTCCTTAGAAATCGTACGAGTTCGCCTCATCGTCGCCCTTGCGTACTTTAAATATGAACTTGTAGATGAGAGCCGCCACAATGCCGCCTGCAATTGGACCCACCCAGTAGACCCAATGGTCGGTCCACATACCCGCCACCACAGCTGGACCGAAGGAGCGAGCCGGATTCATGCTGGCGCCGGAGAGTTTGATCTGTGAACGAGCAAAAAAGTGTTATGCGAGCTCTTAGAGAGAGAGGCATACCGTTCCGAACTTACAGCGCTCAAATGACCGGCAGCAATGGACAAGCCCACTGCGAGAGGAGCCGAGCCCTTGATGTCCAAGCGGCCGGGATCGGAGACAGCCTTGACCACAAACACCAAGATGAACGTGATTAAGGCCTCAATGAGCACAGCTTGGCCGACGGTCAGAGAGTTTGAGAAGGACGAGACGCCGAGTCCAACGCCCACAGTGTCCGCAACGGCGACTCGGATAACGGCTGCTCCAGCAATGGCGCCCACGCACTGCACAATTATGTAGAAGGCGGCCTTCAGGATGCTCATCTCGCCCACAATCAGGAACCCAATGGTTACTGCGGGATTGATGTGACAGCCACTGATGTGGCCCAGGGCCTGCAAATAAACAAAAAATCGTTTAAAGAACAAACTAGAAAATCCCAAGTATTTTAATTAAACTAAGCTTGCGAGTGAAAATCGTAAACGTAATCGTAGTTAGTTTTCAATCGTATCTAAAATAAATAAATGTAGCTATTCTTTGCTCAATTATTGCATTATAGAGGCTACATTTCACAGTCAAAGATATCCTCCAATACCAAGTGCTCAAGAGTTTACCTAATTTTCAAAATTGTCATGTCAGGAATAGGAATAGTATAAATGAATTATTTAATAACAAAATATGCTCAATCAAAAATTGTGAATTAACTATAGATTTAGGAAGTTCTTCTTTGATTTTCTTAAGTAGTGATGAGAAAATATACTGAAGCCTCCTTCGATAGACCTTTGGCGAAATTTCTCGAATTTGTCCATTAGCTTAGTTCTGGTGGCGCTGGTAGCTTTCCCCCTTTGATTCTGGATTGCTTAATTTACATTTCGATAAGAAGTTGAAGTCCGAAAATTAGGTGGAGCCCCACTAGTAGGAGCTCATTTATGCCTTCCACACATGTCGCTTGAAAAACAATATACTAAGAACGCGTTGCTGGCTAGTAATATATGCAAATGCTACATATGTTGTTCATTTAATTAATCTCCAAACCCATAAAGTATACTATAGGTATAGTACAATACCTCCATTTCGAAAACTCTATAAAACATGTGTGTGCCGAGGAAAATGATATTCAAATAAATGACGTTATATTTCCTAAGAAGTTTCGTGAGACGGCTGTTATTAAATGCCTTAAAGAGAATAAATTGCAGGCAAAAAAAAAAACAGATATAGTATATTCGAAAAACAAATTTTTCAATTAAAACAAAATTTGCTTTAAGGTTTTTTTTTTAATTTTCCTCGCTACATGCAACAACTAGCAACCAGCGCAACTAACCTGGTTTTCTTTAGTTGCGATTACCGAGGTTGTACTGTATAGCTTATGTTTGGTATTAATCTAATGGAATATCGGTGTCGCCTAGATGCTTCGTATAATTGCTATAAATTGCTATCAATATCGGAGTCTCAACTTAATGAAGTAAAGAGACAACATAATTACACCCCCTCCTCATATGGACAGGTCAGGACTTGAAGGCGATCGGGTTTGCTTGAAATACATATTGGAACATTTGGATAAAATTTTGATAGCAAGCCACTGTCACAAATTCATTTGAGCCCTCATGGTAGGGAAACCCCACAATGATTTAGAATCGTATGTACATACGAGTATGTATACACAACAATATATATTCACACATACACATAATTGAAAGAAAATTACCTTCGGACAAACAACAAAATCAGACACGCTTTAATTTGAGTTAAGGCTTCAATACTTTCAACAACTTTATAGGTTAGTAATATTACCATAGGTCTTCGAAAAACGAAATGTATATTACTTTAAATAAATTCTAGAGTGCCCAATAGGGACTAGTGGAGTAAGAACCAATATGTACATATTAACTGGGGTTTATTATAGTATTATAAAGAGATATATTTAACTGGCATAAATAAACATTAAAAAAAGACTTCAATAGTATATTTTGAATCAGAATGATGTTCGTCTGGGTATATTAATTTTTATTTCATTTATTTTTTTTATACCCAGTACCCGTAGGGTAAAAAGGGTATATTAGGTTTGTGCAAAGTATGTAACATGCAGAAGGAAGCATTTCCGACCCCATAAAGTATATATATTCTGAATCAGCATGACGAGAGAAATCGATCTAGGCATGTCCATGCGTCCGTCCGTCCGTCTGTCCGTCCGTCTGGATGAACGCAAGGATCTCAAAAACTATAAAAGCTAGAATAACCAAAGTTGGCATCCAGATTCTCCTAGGTCCGAGAAATGACGAGTTTATTTTATTTTTTGGAATTTTCCCCCCCTTCCCCCGCTACAGAATTTCGTCAATAGCGTCTACATTTCAAATGCTACCTAAACCAAACTTTGCACACATAATTAATAAATAATTATCTACTGTTGTTTAAAATTATTTTTATTCAATTTGGTCAATTCTAAGAAAAGTTATTAGCGAAACAAATTCTCGTCAGTACAACCCCACCAAACTGCAGCAACAAGTTCGCTCTTCTTCCTCTTTTTGCTGCTGCTATGGGCGCATATAACTCAGTGACGGAAGTTTACCTGGGTACAGGGTATTACACTGTCGGGCTTGCTCGACTGTAGCGTTCTCTCTTGTTTTTAACTTATCCTAGCGTTAAAAGTACGAGATTACTTTTAAGTTATTACGCTTGTCATTACAGATCAGATTGATGAGTTCTTAGAACTTCCTAGTGCACAAATTTATTTCATTTCTCTCCCCCGCTACAGACAAAAACATAGTTTCCCACACATAACGAATGCAATTCTATCTCTATTTCAAATTTCAGATCTATCGTTTTATTTCTGAAAGGAGCTAAACAAGGCCGTAATATACCCTATTGTTTGGAGCCAAGTTGGAGCTTTTCAGATGAGTTAGAGAGTGGTAGATTACTTGTATTCCAAAACTGTTGCTTTCTGAATTATAGTTCATGTTGATCCTAGTCAGTGAAGCATTAATGCACGTGGTTTCTTTCAAATGTCAAGATGCCAACGCACTCTCAACCCAGTTGGTGAAGAGCCCCTCAGCCAGCTGGTGTCGATCCGTCGCAAGTGACTGCGCTCCACAATAATTTGCCATGCCAATTTCTGGGTTGGGTTGGGTGATGGTAATGGTGATGGTGATGGTGATGTTAGAGTTTTTCCAGTGCGTTAGCGAACTGCAATTGCGCAAGCTGCACTTAGCCATTGTCAGCCGACGGATACGAGCAATTTGTCTAAGACGCACTCCACATCTGCCAACATATACTATACAAACGAGTATATAGATACAATATATGTATGTATGTTTGGCAAGGGGCGCCTACTCGAATATGTATAGCATTAAAGTTCAGGCACATTGATTTAAGATTCGATTTCATTTCGAGGGTGCCTAAGACTAAAAGTAAAAGTATCTGATCGCCAAACACAATACTAGCTCTGCGAGTCATTTACATTCTGTTGAGTCATCGCTCGGTGCTGGGCGCTGTTTGAGCTTCAAGTGAGCTTCAAGCGAGCACATACATGTGTACATTCAGTGAGAACTTTAAAATGCTTGTGGCATAATCGCACTGATCGCCACTCACAGAAGACTGGCGAAAAAATGATCCCACCACTACGGCTGCCACCGCTCGTACCACAGTACAGTGAAAACTCGCTTGGCCGGACACTCACCGTCGAACAAGAAACGACTTTTTTTCATTTTTTCCTTTTAATTGAATTGTTTTTCTATTTAGACGATTAAAGTAGACGATTAAAATAAAAATGAAGATCCTAATTCATTGAATAGCTTTACGTAATACAGTGAAAACCCGCTTGGCCGGACACTCACCGTCGACCAAGGGGAGTGTCCGTTTTAAAGGATACATAGACATTTTTTTCTTTTAATTAAATTGATTTTCTATTTAGACGATTAAAATTAATATAAATGAAGATCTAAATTCATTAAATAGCTTTACGTAATATATAGTATGTACATATACTTCATAAATATAAAACTATATTTTAAACCTTGTTGTAAGTTTTCCGCTTAAAAACTATTTTTGAGTATATGAGCGCCATTAAGAAGTGAAGTGAAATAAATATAATCACTTCTATTGCAAAAAATTAAAGTTATTTCCTGTTGCAACCATTCTTGACCTAAATAACAACACATTTAATTTATTTTTCAGTATTTATCCAAGCACTACTATAAGTTTGATCGTACAAAACTGAGCAAAATTGTGAAATAATTAAATAACAACAACAATATGGGCATAAATAGCAGAAGTAATAGCATATTTTATTAAAATCTTGTATTACTTGTAGATCACATAGAATATATGTAATATGAAATATTTTATAAAAATTTTGTGGAATAATTACATAGGTAGAAATAAATAATAAGAAATAAAAGGAATATGAAAATATGGATGATCAAACTTAATGAAGAGTATCGCTTTAATTATTAGGCGTGTGTTTGAGGCGTCCATTACCAAAATGTCGCGTCGGGTCAAGAGAGGTTTTCTTTCTCGAAAAAAAGTGTCCGTGTCCGGTGAAGAGAGTCGAAGTTGCTTTAAAAAAGTACACCAAAACGAATGTGCCTAGTGTCCGTCTAAGAGGGGTTTCCGTTTAGGGCGTCTTCACTGTACCCGCACTCGTACTAATGTATTATGAATGAGCTGAAGGAGCATTTTGGTTGCAGCTGTTCAAGGTCGCTGCGCAAGCCCATGTACCCCACACCTCTTGGTTGATTTCTCTTGGATCTGGGATCTCGAATCTCAAATCTCGAAGCAAAAGTGCGCACACGGCCAATTTCGTGCGCATGCGGCTCTATCTGTCGGTCTGGCTGTCTGTCTGTCTGGCGATCTGTCTTTCAGCATTTTAATTAGTAAATGCGCAAAAGTGTGGCCGTTGCCTGCTCCACAATGCCGCTAATTACAGCGCACTCGGCCAGCCTCATGCGTGCTGCCAACACGTTTTGCTAGGCCTGAAATGTTGTTGTTGCTGCCAGCAATCGGCAAGCAGCAATCAGCAATCAGCAATCGCAGCGGCAAACAACGAGCAGTTTTAGATACGCCCCGGTTAAACTTCAATTCAATTTCAACGGCGACTTGACATTTTGCGTAGCTGTGAGTGCACACACATACACACACATACACACACACTCAGACACACATTGTGTGTGCCATGCAATTTTTCAATAAAATTATATGTATTTTAATATTGTGCGGAGTCGATGCGCCGACTGTGTGAAAAATGTGGTGCGCATGCGCGACGCTGGCGCAGCCTTAGACGCAGCCGTTCGCGCATAATCATCAAAAGTAATGCCATGGGTTGGGAGAGAGAGGCCGCGCAAATCGTCAGACCGATCAGCACACGCACTTGACGGCGTTATGTGTGTGGCTGGAGGCTTAA